CATCCGATTTCTCCATCATCCACTTGATCTTATCTTACTATTTAACTTACATATATTTGCTCTTCATTTTGTTTTTAGGCGTGAATGAAATTGCTAAAATCGGTGTTGCTGGTGATAGTGCTGGCGGAATGATTTCGGCATCAGTCGCTCGTACAGTAAAGAACGTTGATTTTCAAGTATAGATTTATTTAATGATTGTCAACTGTATTCAGTTCTCTTTTATCAACAGATTCTGATTTATGCAACATTAGATGTTATTCGTGAAACACCGTCTTATAATGAATTTACTGATCAAATGTATAATGCTACACCTGAATTAATGGATTGGTAAAAGAACGATTGAATAATGAAATATATATATATATATATTATGATTATCTATAGGTTTACAAAACATGCATTTGAAACTTCGCAAGATTTGAAAGATCCACGAATATCTGCTTTATATAATACATCATTACAAGATGTGCCACCATGTTTATTCATTGTAGCAGAACTTGATGCTCTTCGAGATGGAAACTTAGGTATTGAAAAAAACTATATTTTCTTGTAAATAATAATGTTATCTTTTAGAATATCAAAAATTACTTGAAAAAGTTGGTGTTCAAACGAAATTATTGCTTGTTAAAGGTGTTATTCACGGATTTTTTAGTTTACATGGTATGACGGATAAAAGAACGTTTTTATTTATTAAATTATATTTGTTTATTAGGGGTGTTCCCACAAGCGTGTGCAGAATCAATGAATACTATTCAAGATTTTATGGCATCTATTTAATAAAGAAAACTTTTAATATAGAAATAAGATTTTATTGAGATATAAATAAAACACATAAGGACTAACAACAAATAAACAACTAATTATTCGAAGAAATGTCAAATTTTTCATGATATGTATGGTGTATGAATGACTTGTGTAACGTACTGATCACTTCTGATGGATCTAGGTGCACTTTGTTGATTTCTCTGTAAAACTGACAATGGATATGTTTCACCGTGAATCACTGCAATAACGTTTCGACGTGGATGGCAACATCGTTTTATGATCTTCAGAGATTCCTTACGAAAAACAGTAGCAGTTAATGTATATAAATAGAAACTAGTTGAATGAGCAAAATATGATATTCCAGATGTAAGTCTAGATATCATATTTAATTGAGCAACTCGAAGTGAGTCTTTGGGTACACTTGCAGTGAACGATGCATAAAGTTGATAAACAGCATATGGTGCTGTGCATATGATAATCATCAGAACTTGGGCAGTTAACATTCGTAACAGATGAATGTGAACTCGTCGATGCATTTGATTATTTTCAGGTGGTTGTGCAAGTAATCGACGACGTTGACGAAGATGTTTCAATGTAAGACTACCGAAAACAAGCATTAAGAATGATGGACAAAGTGAATACAATGCTAGATGCCACAATGCAATGAATGTACTATAAGTACTATTTTCGATCACACATGAAGATCCGACATTTCCATATTGATCTATAACATATTTCAAGTTTAAAAAAACATAAGTATGACTATAGAAAATAGGAATAATAATACAAATAATTCCAATTGTTAATTTGGCATTTTTTAATGAACTTAATCGTCGAATAGATGCATTTGATGAACTATGTAAATATCGATCGATGCATATTAATGTAATTAACCAACTGCATATTGCGCGTACCGTGTAGAAAGTAAAAAATTCAATTTTACATATTCCAGTATTCACATTACCTACATCTATATTAAAACTAATTGAAATCATTCGTACTGGTATTATAATTAGTATAACAAAAAAATTAAAACATGTTGCTGTGAGAAAATAGAGTGAACATGATTCACGACGTAGAGTTGGACGAGTGAAAACCAGTATATTAAATGCCAGACCAAATATTCCCAGAAACAAATTGACAAAAGATATCACGAGAAAAAACACTAATGTTATTGTGTCATCCACAAGTGACATGATTACAATTCAATATGTAGAGTTGCAGTAAAAATATTCGTTGATTTAGATCTAAATAATACAGAAACAAATACAATCAAAAACTTAAACACATCAAACGATTCATCTCGTTCGCTTAGAAATCTCGCATGATAGCCTATGTTTCTGATTTAATATATAATGAAAATAGTTTTGTACTGAAAATACATGCCTTCAGCCTCTAAATACATTTAAATTATACTCTCCGGTGTGGTCCTCAAAGATCATAAGGAGAAAAAAATGAGTACCAAGCAGAAAAGACGCCAAAATCAGAGAAGATAACGTTATAACGAATATCTTGCAACTATAATAGAATTGTTTTGTCATTTGTCAGCAACAGTTTCTCACCGGGGATGGATTTACCAAAAAATTTGATTCTGATCAGTTTTAATCTAATCTATTGATATCTTTGTTCACAAAACTTCACACTTCGTCTAGTCCCATCTCAAAGCGATTGATATGTCTTCAAAATTGATCTCGTACTGTATATACTATTTGTCGAAGAGAGAAAGCCCGAAACGATAAATTTTAGAAGTATTTCAATTTAATTTCCATTAACAAGATCGAGATTTTCACCAGTTTCGAAGATGATAATCAAGTTTATGAGCGCATCTGATACAGTTAATATGTAAAAGATTAGGATCCCTAATAAGACAAAAAAAAGATAAAAGTTAATACTGGAAAGTAACATTCATTTTTAAAAAACAATAACAAAGCAAAAGAGAAACGTTCTTTTTTTCAATACTTGCAGCTATGTTTGAGATGAGAAGAAATATTTGGACTGACATTGTTATTACAACTTTAATTAAGTAACTGATGAGTTTGTTGGAATGTTTAAGTTCCTTTAGGTATTTTCATTCTTAATTTTCTGTTTTATTAAAACTTTGACAATGTCTTTTGATTATAACGGATATCCCAGGATAAATGGCGCTCGCAGTATTTTGATAATCATTTTTTTCAATTTTCAAACAACTCATGTAACTAATCGCTTGTCAAACATCAGGGTAGATTGAATAAAATTCATGATTTTATAAAAGCTTTCACAAAGTATCTTTTTCGAGATGTGGGTATAAGTGTCAGATAAATAAAGCAGTGGCACCCACACCACATTCACTTTTAGAGTACATAAAAACTTCTAAAAATGCACTTATAACATAAGTCAAATTAAATATTTCTATTGTTTTTCTTTTATTCATGAATGGAATTATTGATACAATAATGTTTATAACATTAACAACATTTTCTTGCCGATTGCCTTCCTCTTGTATGACCATTAAATTTTTTGCAAATATCTTGTAAATTATTCGTTTTAATTCAGTTCGAAATGCTTTTGATACAATTACAAGTATTAAAAAAAACTGGTGCAAAAAGCAATATGGTATAGAAAATAAAGAAAATTAAGTAAACAACTTTCGATAGCTTGTCATAATAATGTACGTGTTTGATTTTTTGTTACTACTTCATAAATATAATAGATATTACTTTTGATAAATACATGAAACAAGAAAATCATCCAAAAAATATGTATTTAAATTAATGGAAAATGTATTAAATAAAATACACATACATTTTTTTTTCAAGATTTTTTTAAGAATATTAAAGTATTTAAAATGTTTATAACATTACCAAAAATACAAATTACAGGAAAAATATATCGATATATATAAATAGTTGCATTATTAAGATTATTGATATGATATTTTTCAGATGACGTTTTCCTTACAAAACGACATATGAGTAGTAATGCTATTTTTTATAATAGATAGGATTTCTGTTGCATTCATGGTCTTGACAAATTCAATTTTTTATTTATAATTCACTAGTAGAACTAAAAATGTTCTTAGAAATTTAATATTCTAAGAACTCTTCGAACAAAACTATATATAGAAAATAATATAATATGATGATGACGCACGAAGCAAAAAACACTAATTAATAATTATATATTTTTGACAAAAGCATCTAAAACAGAAAGTGCATCTTCTGCAAATGATATTTCAACGAAGGATCAGTTCTAATAAACTTATAATGCTTAGTTAATAAAAGAGATTTAATAAAATAATCTTTAACTTCATAGAAATAACATTTGCGACGGTTTCTTCTTTTTTTTTAATAATTATTTTATTATTCCCAAAAGGGTAAATAAACTTTTTTCACAGTTCGCGTTACACTACATTTATCAAATAAGATGAATGGAAATAATAAAGAATATAAAGTGGTTGTGTTAGATTTATCTTACATGCATAAAGTTCCAGATATATTCACATATATAAAGCAATCAGATGTGAAAGGACAAGGGTCTAATCGAACACTTGAATATGTATCTGGCTTGTTTATTTCTATACATGTTAAGAAGTTTAATAAGAACGAATAGGAAAGTATTTCAGTACAAAGTGCTCCAATCGAGAAAACATTTTCTATGGTGAATAGTATGCGCGTCTTTTGTGTGTCATTTCCTACGTATGTTTTAATACTGTATTCTTTCCGTGCAAGTTAGTATTTTACTATTACATCGAACTCTATTATTATAACATGTATTTTAAAGAAAAAAGATCGACGTTTAGCTATAGTCCTGAGCAATGATACCCGGAAGATGATAAATATTACAAAAACTTATGCCTCACCTTTTATATGTGATTTTATTATTTAGAAACGCTACTTTTACCACTATTTATCTTTTTCATAATTAAATATTGTTCTCTTAAATAATAAGTTATGGAGCAAGAAGAACTCTTTGTCCTCTCTTCGCTATAAAACCACATATAATTTTTTTTTAGATTTTAATCAATTCTTCTTTTAACAAAGCATTTTCAAACAGAAAAAATGACAACAACAAATCTGCCATTTGTACAAGAAGAAATGATTCGTTATGGTATGAGCATTTGCTTAGCACTTGGTCTCACTGGTAATATTTGCAATTGCATCATATTTACACGACCATTATATCGACGTTCACCTAGTTCTGTCTATCATCTTTCTCTCTCGATTTGTGCTCTTTTGCATTTAATTTGGTCTATTAGTCCACAACTTCATACACTCTATTATCCTGATCTTCAAAATCAATCGGTTTTCTACTGTAAAACAAGACTTTTTGGTACTCATGTTCTTGGATTATATTTTCGCTATATTCTGGTATGTGCTTGTGTTGATCGATTCTTTGCAACACGAGCCGATGTTGGTCGTCGATCATTAAGTTCAGTTAAAATGGCAATAGTACTTATTGTCATTACATGTATAGTATGTTCATTGGCCGCCATTCATATGCCTATTTTAATGTATATACGAAATAATATTTGTGGAATGTTTGATTTATACAAATTTATTTTTGCATTTTATGAAATTCTGACAATTACGATTCTACCACCAGCATTAATGATCATTTTTAGTGCTCTCACTATTCGTAGTCTTCATCAGCGTCATGCAATTCAAATACATGCTAAAATTAGAGATCGTCATCTTTTACGTATGGTTATTGCTGAAGTCGTGGTGAATATAGTTACATCTGTCCCGTTTTCAGTTAATCTCATCTATGGAGTAGCAACATATTATGTTGTTAATAAAAGTACTCGACGACTTCAGATTGAATCATTTATGAACTTTTTCACTACATTCGTAATCTACATGCTTGTTGTGTCTCCATTTTATTTATTTATCTTTGTATCAAAACCTTATCGAAAAGAATTCATCAATATAATAACCAAGGGTCCAAACAAGTGCATGCAACGAAGAAATCGAATTATGCAAACAAACACACAAAATCATGCGCCAGCGATTAATGGCTCAGTCGTTTAAAATAAA